CATGGGATTATTCATCAAACATCTTGTCCGTACACATCTCAACAAAATGGGGTAGCTGAAAGAAAGAATAGACATCTTATTGAAACTGCTCGTACCCTACTCATACAATCTCATGCTCCGTTGCGTTTTTTGGGGGATGCAGTTCTTACATCTTGCTATCTTATTAATCGTATGCCATCTTCAGCTATCCAGAACCAAGTTCCATTCTCTGTCATGTTTCCCCACTTACCTTTGTTCTCTCTTCCACCCCGTATCTTTGGAAGCACTTGTTTTGTCCATAACCTTACTCCAGGAACAGATAAGTTAGCTCCTCGTGCTCTTAAGTGCGTATTTCTGGGTTTCTCGAGAACACAAAAGGGGTATCGATGCTACTCTCCTGACCTCCAGCGGTACCTTATGTCCGCTGATGTTACCTTCTTTGAAACCCAATCATACTTCACAGGTTCAGGTCATCACTTAGATATTTCTGAGGTACTACCAGTTTCATCTTTTGGAGATTCAGTCACTCCAGCTCCACCACCTACAGCTCCAGTTGTAGCTCTACCACCTATAGCTCCAGTTCCACCACCTACAGCTCCGGTTGTAGCTCCACCACCTATAGCTCCAGTTCCTCCACATAATCCAGTTCAACCTTCTGCAGCTCCACCACTCTTGACTTATCATCGTCGTCCACATCCAGCATCAGGCCCAGGTGATTCACGCCCCGCATCAGATTCTGCACCTACTGCGGACTTGTCTCCTCTTAGTCAACCAATTGCACTCCGCAAAGGTGTACGATCCACACTTAATCCTAATCCCCACTATGTCGGTTTAAGTTATCATCGTCTGTCGTCACCACATTATGCTTTTATATCTTCTTTGTCCACTGTTTCTATCCCTAAGTCTACAGGTGAGGCACTATCTCATCCAGGATGGCGACATGCTATGATTGACGAGATGTCTGCTTTACATGCGAGTGACACTTGGGAGCTTGTTCCTCTTCCTGCAGGTAAGTCTACTGTTGGTTGTCGTTGGGTTTATGCAGTCAAAGTCGGCCTGGATGGCCAGATTGATCGGCTTAAGGCTCGTCTTGTTGCAAAAGGATATACTCAGATTTTTGGGCTTGATTATAGTGATACTTTCTCTCCCGTGGCTAAAGTAGCATCTGTTCGTCTCTTTTTGTCCATGGCTGCTGTACGTCATTGGCCTCTTTATCAGTTAGACATTAAGAATGCTTTTCTCCACGGTGATCTTGAGGAAGAAGTTTATATGGAGCAACCACCTGGTTTTGTTGCTCAGGGGGAGTTTAATGGTTGTGTGTGCAGATTGCGCAAGTCACTATATGGTTTGAAACAGTCCCCTCGAGCTTGGTTTGGTAAGTTCAGCACAATTATTCAGGAGTTCGGCATGACTCGTAGTGAGGCTGATCACTCTGTGTTTTATCGGCATTCTGCTCCTAATCTGTGTATTTATCTAGTGGTTTATGTTGATGATATTGTTATTACTGGTAATGATCAGGATGGTATTACTAATCTGAAGGAACATCTCTTTCAGCACTTCCAGACTAAGGATCTGGGCAGATTGAAGTATTTTCTAGGTATTGAGGTCGCTCAGTCTAGCTCAGGTATTGTTATTTCACAGCGGAAGTATGCCTTAGACATTCTTGAGGAGACTGGAATGATGGGTTGCAGACCTATTGACTCTCCTATGGATCCGAATGCTAAGCTTCTGCCTGGACAGGGGGAGCCTCTTAGAGACCCTACGAGATATAGGAGGTTGGTTGGCAAATTGAATTACCTCACAGTGACTAGACCTGACATTTCTTTTCCGGTGAGTGTTGTAAGTCAGTTTATGGATTCTCCCTGTGATAGTCACTGGGATGCAGTTGTTCGCATTCTTCGGTATATAAAGTCAGCTCCAGGCAAAGGATTACTATTCGAGGATTGAGGCCACGAGCAGATTGTTGGGTACACAGATGCTGATTGGGCAGGATCACCTTTTGATAGACGTTCTACGTCTGGATATTGTGTTCTAGTAGGAGGTAATTTGGTCTCGTGGAAGAGCAAGAAACAGAATGTAGTTGCTCGATCTAGCGCCGAAGCCGAATATCGGGCCATGGCTATGGCGACGTGTGAGTTAGTTTGGGTCAAGCAGTTGCTCAAGGAGTTAAAGTTCGGAGAAATCAGCAAGATGGAACTAGTGTGTGATAACCAAGCTGCTCTTCATATTGCGTCAAATCCGGTGTTCCATGAGAGGACTAAACACATTGAGATCGACTGTCACTTTGTCAGAGAAAAAATACTTTCAGGAGATATTGTTACAAAGTTTGTAAAGTCGAATGATCAACTAGCAGATATTTTCACTAAGTCTCTTACTGGTTCTCGTATTAGTTACATGTGTAACAAGCTCGGTACATATGATGTGTATGCACCGGCTTGAGGGGGAGTGTTAGTTTATAGATATGTATAGTGTAGTCTTGTCCCACATTGGAAGATGAGTAATATTTTCTTGTAGTGTATAGCTATAAATAGGGACCTCTTGTATTGTATTTATCATCAAATATCAATAATATATTTTCTCCTGTGCTTTCTCACAGTCTTCAACAGAGAAGATGTGGACACCTCACAAATAACGACATGCTATTGGTCGTGTTTTAACGTGTCATCCAACGGAAGGTGAGTGATATTATCTCAGAATGCTATTAATGAATATTAGAGGATCAAAATCATATAAGGATTTACTAACTGTTAATGGACAACGTTGCAGCACCTTTAGAGAATCAATGGAAAAACGGGGATTGCTACAAAGTGACAATAGTTTGCTCGAATGCATGTCAGAAGCAACAAGTTACCAGATGCCATACAGTTTGAGACGTTTATTTGCTACATTACTGATTTACTGTAATCCTACTAATCCAAGACAACTCTGGGAACAATTTGAAGAGCATATGTCCGAGGATTATACGTTGGTATCCAATATTAACAAAAAAAGATATTCGATACCAAGTTTTAAACCATATTAACGACATATTACACTCTATGGGTGGTGACATAAATGAATATCAACTCATTCCTGAAACAATAAGGCCTTCTGTAGCGGCAAAAGATGCAAAGGAGGTACGCTTTGAAAGGACCATCACGGTTACTAATAAGAATATACTATTACACAAAAAGTTGAATAAAGATCAGCTTAGAGCATACAATATAATTATAGAGAGAATTTTTTCAAACAAAGCTGGGGCATTCTTCATTGACAGACCTGGACGAATAGGGAAAACCTTTTTATATCGTGCATTGTTGGCAACTGTACGATCTAAAGGGTATATAGCATTGGCAACTGCCACTTCTGGTGTAGCTGCATCTATACTTCCTGGTGGACGAACTGCACATTCATGTTTTCAAATTCCAATAAATACTGATGACAATGTGACCTGCAACATCAGCAAACAAAGCTCACTTGCCTGTTTGATTCAGGATACAAAATTAATTATATGGGATGAAGTATCTATGGCGAAAAAGAGAATGATCGAACTGCTTGATTTACTTTTAAAGGACTTAATGGATTCAACGATACTATTTGGTGGAAAGTTGTAATTTTCGGAGGTGACTTCAGACAGACATTGCCGGTAGTTCGGAACAGAAAAAAGGAAGATTTCATTAATGAAAGTTTACTATATTCTCATATTTGGGAAGAACTTGAAAGGCTGCGGTTATTCGAAAATATGAGAGCGAAAGATGATCCTTCATTTTGTAATTATTTGTTGCGAATAGGAAACGGAGAAGAAAAAGTAAACTCAACAAACAAGATTGAAATTCCTACTTCTTTGATCATTCCTTATGCAACCGAAAAGGAATCTTTGGATAAATTATTCGCGATAACTTATCCAGACATGCATATATTTTTTAACAATTAAGAATGATTTCGTCGATGATATCAACGACATGCTTGTTGCTCGCTTCCCAGAAGAATCAAAAACTTTTATTGGTACTGATGAAACTATTGAATCTCATGATCAATTACAATTTGAGGATCTGTTGCACAATTTAAATCCACCTGGTCTGCCTCCTTACAAATTGACATTGAAACAAAACTGCCCAATTCTATTATTACGAAATATAAATCCGTGTGATGGTTTATGCAATGGAACACGTTTGACTTGCTGTGATTTTAAATCGCATGTCATTAGCGCCAATATTTCAGTTGGTCACTTTAAGAATACACATGTGTTTATCCCTAGAATACCACTATTATCATCCCAAGATGAAAAAATGCCTATTCTGTTTAAAAGGACACAATTTCCCGTAAGACTGCGCTTTGCAATGACTATAAATAAAGCGCAAGGTCAGACATTAGATTTTGTTAGAGTTTATTTGCGAGAACCTGTGTTTTCACACGGTCAACTTTATGTCGCTTTGTCCAGAGCAAAGAGTTCGAACTGTGTGAAAGTGCTAATCCGACACACTATACCAGGTAGCGAGGACGATCACTACACGGATAACATTGTTTACAAAGAAATCATCCAAAAAGCTACTTTATAGGGATATTGCGACAAGAACAAATAGTATCCTAACTAAAAAAAATGAAATAACTGACGAAGGATATTGATGATGTGCAATCCGATTGGTAGCAATCAGCTTGTATTCGCTCAAGCGATGAAAACTACAGCTGATGCTCTTTTCGCACATGACTGCTCCAACAAAGATGAATCAATAGGAGGCTGTGGCATTGGCTAAGATGGTCGTGGAGAGGCATTTTTGCATGAAAATTTAGTACAAGAAAAAGAAAAAACAATTTGTTAGATCTTACAGTCATTAGGTATACAGGGACAAGCCAATTAGCCATGAATGATCTTTTTAACTAATAATGCCAACTTCTTGTGCTAATTGTCACTGCATATAATTTATTAAATGGAAAATTTTTAATCCGTCTAATCAGGTCATCCATTTTATTATCTGTGTCTACCTATTTTTTTTATCTTGCGGTATATATTGATGATGTCTTCTTTTTTCCCCCCAATGTAGAGTCTGCATAATACATGGAGCACAGATTAACCATTGATAGGATCGCTCCACAAACAAAAGAGTGGACGTCAAAGGTACAACTCATTGAGAAACCTCGGCCAAGGCAAAGTAAAGATGGAAAGACGCGATTCCAGATTGCTGTTGTCCGAGACGAAAGAGTAATTTTCTAACTACCGTGTCGCTTCTTATTCTACTGATTCAAATATAATTGCATTCGCCACTATTCTTTAATTGAAAGAAAAGAAAGAGATCCATCAACTTAGGTAATCACAAATTTAATCGTTTCTCTCAATACTGGTTATGTGAGGAACTAAATGTTTGACATGCTCTATGAAAGTAGATATTCCGCATTTACAATTTATGTCTGTCTGATATGAGTTTCTTTACATAAAAATTGTGGTACCAAACTTTGGAATTTCTTCTTTGGATTACTTACTTCTGCCTTAATAGTACTTTATTTGTGATATATTTGCAGTACACTTTGCAGTCGCTGTGTTTGAAATTTGCTTAAACTTCTTACATCTTGTGAAATTAAAGGGCAAGAATTTAGAAGGCAGGACCAATTTGATGGTAATTATTTCAATCATTAAATGTTCTTTCTCCACGGCCACACTCTGATAAAACAGATATCCATAAATTATTGATGATGATAAGCTTATCATTAAGTACCTCTAATTATTTTTAGCTTAAAATTTATCTTCCGAAATATGATTATGAGATCTGTTACTTTATAAATTCTAGGAAGCTGCTATTTGTATCTTACGAAGCCTTTTGAAAATCCAAATTATGCATTACAATAAACAACATAAAATCACGTTAAAATCAGATTACATATACTATTTCAAACAATAGAGTAAATGAAAGCATTCTTAATTGCTAGACATCTGATAGATCGTGTATTTGTTGAACACACACCCACAATGCTAATAATACCAGAAACAGTTCATTAAAGTACTTCAGCTCACAAATTACTTACATAATGCAAATTACATATTAGGTACTATTATGTCAACAATATTGACAAGATTGGGTTGCTCTAGTGGTGAGCACCCTCCACTTCCAACCAAGAGGTTGTGAGTTCGAGTCACCCCAAGAGCAAGGTGGGGAGTTCTTGGAGGGAGAGAGCCGAGGGTCTATCGGAAACAACCTCTCTACCCTAGGGTAGGGGTAAGGTCTGCGTACAAACTACCCTCCTCAGACCCCACTAGTGAGATTCTACTGGGTTGTTGTTGTTGTTGTTGTAGTATGTCAACAATATGAGTTTATTTTCTTGCAAATACCTGGGCATAGACATAGGAATATGTTTCCTTTTAATTTAAAGTGCCCTCTTATTTGAAAGACTCTTCGCGACCGATTTTCATTCGTTAAGTCTGCACTTTAGACCTTTTCTTCAACTGTAGGAGTGTCATTTCATAGTTATCCTTCCACGACTGACAGATTATTGAGACCATATTGTTTTCCTTGTGTTAACTGATCAGATATACTTTTATTTAGTAAGCTGAAGGATTAAATGTAGACGTTTCCTCTAACGTAGTAAACTTACACTTTCATAATTGACAGATTATTGAAATCATGTTGTTGTCCTTGAAACATTTTATGTAGTTGGCTGATAATAATACGAGTAGCTAATACGTCAATGTCCTTTGGCAGTCATACATCGTATCAAGTTATTATTCATCCTGCTAATTTGCGATCCTTTGAAGTTAATTTTATTTACTACCTTGCTGCAAACCTTTTGACTGCTAGACTATGCATTTTCCATGTAATACCAATTCTCAGTTAACTAATGTATACATCATTTTAATTTTTCTTTTTGCCAAGAGCATTTTTTACTTTCTTGCCGCCTGGAATACGAACCACACTTGGTAACAGGTCTATTTGGTCTCATCCATAGGGAACTGTTAACTTGCTTTCTTTACCATTACTACTGGACTATTGGTGAGAATAAGCACGAAATATCGTCAATCTCATCCAAAGTTGTTTCGAACAGTAACAAGGTTCCTCAAACAACTTTGTTTACGCCATTATTCTTCCATAGTTCTGTCCAAATTTTCATGTTCTCAATAGCCTGTGCATTTAGTTTTCCCTTGCTCCCTAAATTCCAATTGAGAAGTAGAAAAGAAAAAACAGCTGGTGGAATCTTGAGATGGTGGCCTCGTAACAAAAGTAGCTAAAAGTGGTGGAAGCTTCGGATTGGCCTCATAATAGAAGTAGCTAAAACTTACAGATTTTTTGGGGTTGTCACAAAAAGTTTCCCGAGTCAGTTTCTTCTCTCATTTTAACGTTTTAGACATATATAATTATTTTCCAGATTTTGTGATGCAATACAGTGGATTCTGTTTAGTTTTGCTGGATGAGATCTACATTTGAGAGAGGGGAGTTCAACTACACATTCTTTAGTTCAAAGAGTCATACTGACTTTAGGTCAATGGTATGAAACAATTTTAGTTATGCATTATGACTGACTAATATTCTTCCTCGGGCCCTTTTTTTGGTAGCGCTCTACAAATTGCAATTCCTGTATAGATTAGTTATCAATTGTGTTTCATGAGTTTGAGGCTGCTCATACTGTACTTGTTTACTATTTTAATATTTCAATATTTTGCATTTGTATGTCTCCATGTGTTTATATGGATACACTTCCGCACGGGTAGTTGAGTAAGTCATCATTCTATGAAAATGCAGGAAGAGCAAGTAGTCGCTGTTCTGTACGGGGAAGACATAGAAAAGTATGCAGACAAGCTCACCCCGTTTTCCACTTACTTGATATCTACTGCAAAAGTGAGGGTTCCTTTACCCTACGGAGTACTTATCAACCGTTTTGAATAGGTTATCGACAAATTTACTGTCGTCGAAGAGGTCAAAGATGATAACATACAGGACCCACTGCTCCCACCGCCGACGAGGTTGAATACTGTACCCTTTGCATATTTGCACGAGCAACAGCGAAATACGGAATTTGGTAACCATTATTTTACGCGTAGTACTCTCTGACAATTAAATTTATTCGTATCCTTACATTCTGAGACTGTACATTGGTCTAAATTATAAGCCGCTTGCAATGTCCATTAAACAGACATAATTGCCATTGTGGTGAAATGTGGCTCGATAAAGTATGCTGGCACTAACAGTAACAAATGTCGTGAAATCATCGTAATGGATACCAAGTAAGTCTGCTGGCACTCTATTTAGTTTATTACTTTTGCTACAGCTTGCAAAAAAAACTGGCTATAAATATATAGCCAGATACTGTACGACGATGTCGTCTTATTCAGTTGATTACTTTGGTCAGATACCTTCGATTAAGAAGTTATAATGTCATGAGATTATAATCTCAGCCATCTCCTCATAAGTGTCACCTTCTTCGACTAAAGCTGCCAGGAAGAAATTTCTCCAGACTCATTTATTGCACCTTGAGCTTGATCTATGCCACTTGCCTTACCGTTTTGTTCAACAAATTTTATCTTTCTATGAATAGAACAAGGCATAAGATCTCCAAAAAGAAATTGTATACGCTTTCGGACGTAATCCAGCTTTCTCTTTGTCTTGACATTTTGAACTACAACATTTCAGTGATCACCATGGTTTAGTACAAATTTTTATTTTGTATATTGGCCTAGGTAAAATCCAATACTGCTCACAAGAAAAGAAATGCAAAGAAGTCTGAAATGTGTCTATCACTGTTTTTTTAATGTGTCCATTACTGCCTTTTTTAATGTAACATTGGTTGCTACCATCTGACACATCTTAGTCAAGAAGACTTCATTAGTCAGTGGGAAATCAAAACTCCTCATTTTCTATTGTCCATGTCATTTTTGTAGCTAAAACGTGATTCATATATAATATGAGTTAAGAAAGTTTGTTACTCATTTTAGAAGATCATCCATTAGATAAGATTTTAATGTGCAGCTAACTCTAATATATTAGATAGACGTGTCTTATTTCTCCAAATACTCCCCTATTTCCTCTTCTACGTCAGTTACAACTTTTTGTAGAAATATTTTTGGTTGACAAAAAAAACTTAACAAAGAATGATAAAGTGCAATATATTAACATATGAAAAACTATTTAGATAAGTTCTTAAGTTCCTATATAGGCAGAAAAATTCTCTTCTCAATCCTTATACCCGGCAATCTATCAGGTAATTTATTTGTTATCTTTTTTGGGCCCTAAAATATATATTTTTACTATGTATTCGCTGCGTAAATTTTAGAAAATACAGTGACAGTTGCAAACTATTTAGGTTATGCTGCATTTGTATGCTTAGACACGCAAGATGCATCATTTAAAAAACCTTTCTGCCAACCTCCACTCTCCTGCGCGAACATGTTACTTACTTCTTAGAGCATTGTTTGAATTACGGTCTTACGGAATTGTCTCTGCTATATATTTACATCCTCTTCTTTACTACTCTTGCTAACATTGTAAGACTTCTATTTTTTATTTATTAGGTAATGTCACTTATTGTCCATTTCTTTTACTGTAGTATGAGGCCTACTATCCTTACGCTGTGGGAAGACCTCGCCGACGCTGATGGAAGCATCCTCGCTGCACAGGTTGCTGAATATCCAATAATTGTAGCAAAACGAATTACGTGAACCAACTATGTTGGTATGGAAAACATTACGCTTTTGTTTTTTGGGTATTGCAAGAGGTCTGTTGTGAATTCTTTACTAACATAATGTGTCATATAGGATTATCATTGTCGACAAGGTACAACTCGGTCATACTAATAAATCTACCATATCCTCAAGTTGGAAGACTTCTGAACTGGTATGGAACAAATATTGATATAATCGAATTTTATATTTCGTTAATTAGTTATATGCAAACTAAACATGTGCGGGTAAAACTAGATGGTCCAGCATATGCAATTCCCTATTGTACTACCGTGTTTCCCTTCTTCCCAAGAAAAAGGGACATGCTTAGCATGCTATAAGTTCAAAAATTTTCTTTCAGTTAATTACAAGTTTATAACAACTTGGTATATGTGTATCTTTATTGAAATGGTTTTGAACTACATTGCATCTCATTTTACAACATAACTTTATGAGTTTAAGATCTTAGAGCTTATATGCAAATTTTCTCACCAAAATAATTTACTGAACAGTTCTTGGGGATGTGTGACTTTGCCCTTATATTCGGTGAGTATTTTGGTATGGTATATGTAACATTGGTAAGAACAACCAGTACTTCTATGAGCTTCCAATATGTACTGTTATTCCTTTGATCAGCTATGAAATAGCACTGCACCGTGTTGCTTGTTGGGGATAGTTGCTCTACAATCTGACAAATAAGGTGATATCGTTGTTCAATGTTGACTAAATTTCTGCAAAATTAACTTATTCTTCCAACAGGAACTGCTGCAGTTACTGAAGCTAATAACCAGAGTTTCTTATTTGTATTCTTAGAACGTGTCTACACTCTATGTCCACATACCATATATGTACTATATGTTGGAGCTCTAGCCAACTGAAATATTATGTTATATGCATTATAACTGTGGTCAACTAAAAGATGTATTTTTTTTTGGTACTTTCTGTTAATTTTCCGTGTTATTGGTGTAATCTGCGCAATAATTTGTCACTGAAACAACCTATTCCTACTTTTTCCTACGTTTTTAAAGTTTGTCACAACCTTTTTGTGTCATTTTAAATCTACCTCACATTTTGTTGCCATTGAAATGCCTCTATACACGTACAGGGTCAGAGACAACCGACCAAGATTGATGAGATACAGTCAGCAAAATTTTTCGGCGGTTGATTCGTCTCTGGTGCTTGCGGCAGAACACAATGATACTGTCCCAATTGCTGATATCCAGTCACAACCTCATGTATGTGTATTTCATGCATGCTAATATGTGTACATATAGACTACTTTAGTATTTTTATCCCAACTCAATAAATCTACTTCTATTCCCCTCTTTCGCAGATACAACTCTTTTACGTGGAAGGTAAATTATCATTGCCGACTGGTGACCAAGATTTCTATGAATTACTGTGTTCCCACTGCGGGCAGCAGTACAGAACTCATTTGCCGAAAATTATTCATTGTGCAAGCTGCAAGCAACGTGCGATGTTAACACCCAGGTTATTGCAGCTTAGAGTCCGAGCTTAATAAAATATGTTTGTTCGACATCTTCAAACAAAAAAAGTTTCTTCTGTCATTGGCTTTATGAAAATTAAATAACGTAAATTAATTGCATATTAGGGCCTGCTTTGAGGTTGTAATGACAGATGACAATGGATCAGCTGTTGCGACATTAATAGGCGAATTAGGAGAGAAATTTCTTGACATGACCGCCGCAGATATCTGTGAAATAATCTCAGTTAAGGTACGTTGTTGATGGCAACAGGAGAAACTTTTTTAAAACTATGATATCGTGAAAACAAGTTTACTCTCAATTTTTCCAATTCTGTCTTCCTTGATGTTTGCCTTTGTAGGAGATAACTGATATCTCGATTAATTTGTTGACCTGCACGCAAATTGGACCATATAGCAACACTAAAAAAACAGAACTGCAAATCATCCAATACTTACTCAAGTGTAATTAGAACAAACCATTCTTCTCAAATGTCGTTATTCTTCCTTCTAAAAATTCAAGAAAGTGTCTTGAAAGGACATTAACATTAACCCCTTGAAAATTCTTGGATTGAATCTCACTGGTAACTGAAAATTAGAACCTAAAGTTGAGTTCTTGATTATTTCTTTGAAGATGAAAAAGGAGAGAAAAAACAAAGAGTGAGAGACAAGAAGAGCATCAAAACGAGGAAAAAACGAGATTTTGTTTGCCTGTAGTAGGCAAAATGATGTTGACTTATTTTACCTTACACAACTACGTACTTTTTTGTTCCCAGCAATGCATTTTTGTTAATTGATTAATTCTAAGTTGTTACCTGACTATTCAATGTTGCTTTGTTGGTTCATCATCTGACTTGTACTGCTCGGCAATGTTAGTTACTGCCGATGCAGAGAGCTTGTCAACAATTTTCTTGCTAAAGTACTGATTATGTCTGTTTATACCTCCATTTCCACATGCCTGTTGATAACTAAAACATCTCTTTTAGGTCGCTTAAATATTACAATTGGCTTAATTAAACGCTATAGAAGCTTGTAGCCTCTGCATCCCAAGTACTTCATAGGCTTAAAACATCCAATTTAATTCAGAGTATATTACTTTTGACCACTATCTTGATGTGTTAATTCATTTTTTTCTCTCCTGCAGGAAAAACCATTACCTCTTGAACATGTTCGACAGTGTCTTCCTCATAAACTCTTCAAGATATAACTGAGAAAAACATTTTCTAGAACTTCTGATACGCGGTTGTTCATTGTGTCCTACTATGTGAAGGAAGATTTGTTTCAATTGCCCGCACCAGTAGCCTCTGAAGAAATTGGAGAGAGCAGTAACACTAAATTGGAAAATGTTGAACTCAAGAAAGAGATAGAAAACGAAGACAACATTCAGTCGAATGTGGAACAAGTTACACCCAGAGAAGAGCTGAAGAACGAGTTAACTACTAAAGGTGGCTCTTCTACCAAGAGGCAACAAAGAGGCAACAAACTAAACTGGAGACTCCCCCAAGAAAAAATGAAGGTTAATAAACTTTATCTCTACTTTTTCATTACTTTTTTCCATACTTAAAGGTGATAAACTTTTAGGACCTTGTTATTCATGTTCAAGAATAACTTCTTTGACTTCTGATGTAGGAGTATCAAAAGAAACTTCAAATAAAAAAAAAGGCTATTGCATATTCCATTCCATTCTATATTCATTCATAAGCTCTAATTCGCTCACATTCATCCTCTCCAAAGAACGCCCTCCAGCAGCCAATCCAAAAATAACAGACAGAGAAAGCAATAGTTTCATTCGACTCCTAATTTGCCTGGTCATTAGCAAACATTATTGTGTTGATAATGTTGACAATCCATTGTTAGCTAAATTTCAAGTGCACTATCTTTCATTAAACATCAGTAATATTCCATTGTTCATGTCTAGAAAAGAATTCTCTAAGTTCCTATGATAATATATTACATAACTGCTGCATTGACTGATTATTGTTACACTTCTTATTCCTGATAAAAAATTACTTATAAAGTAGTATTACTGTATATGTACAAGTTTTCTAAGACATTCTTGTGCTTGAATTGATTTATACTTTCTACCTTGCACTTTTATTTCCCTTGTATTGGTATAACTGACTAGGATTATGCAACATATTTTTCAATATAAATTGTGGTTCACTGATAAAAATTTTTGGTTGACGAAAAAAGGCATCATTATAGATCTTACGTATGTTTTGTTCGCAGGGTGTTATAACTCTGTAAAAAATGCCTGTATATACGTCTTCTCCTGATATGTACATACGTGTTTGAAGATCGCTAGCATGTGTTTGACAGGT